AGCTTGAACTTGCATATGAGTAATTGGTGGTCTGTTCCACAATCAGCCCCCGGCCTAGTTTTCACAGCTGATATTGAGCTTCTCCAGCGGTTCCTTCCGCAGATGTAGTTATCTGATTCCTATGCATACCATCAGGTGAAGTCCATGTGTATAACCTGCGTTTGTGTCTCTTATAAAATGTATTTGCAACGAATAAGTCATTGATCTTGCAAAATTCAATCATTCTATCTCCAGCCTCATTCCCGTCACCAAGCCCATGTTTTCCGACCACTGATTCTTCTTCACTAGTCCCAACTTTTGCATTCCAGTCACCCATTATTATCAATGCATCTTGATTGCATGTTCGATCTATCTCCGACTGTAACAGTTGGTAGAAATCATCTATTTCTTCTTCTTTGGCTCTGGTTGTTGGTGCATATATCTGAATATAATAATATCCTAGTTTGGCTTTTACACTGGACATCTGTTGTCTTCAACCTTTTCCTATCACATTCATTCTTGTGGGAAACACTGCAAGTTGATTGGATCAATATGATTTCCCAACCTTGCAACTTCCCTCCATAGAGACAGGAATCCATTTGCTTGCTTTCTTAGCCTCCTCTGACGATTGTGTTACCCAGCTATGACTCTTGAGTAGTCTACTGGGAGTTCACATGAACTGCCAAAAGAACAAACAAATATTTTTTGAAAGGCGTGTAGTAATAATACTTCGGGTAGTGAATAGTGAGACTTCATCTTACATACTTCAGATATGGCATCAGAAAGAGCCATTCCTGGAGAAAGACGTCATGCCCGGCAAAGATGAGGGCCAGTAAAAAAGAGGAAGACCTTCAACAAGATGTACCAGCACAGTGGGGGCAATAACAGGTTGAAGTACTGAAGAGATTATGAAGATGGCACAGAACTGGATGGTGCTTTAGTGTGTTTACAGAAGTCACTATGAGTTAGAGCAGATGCCAACACCACCTAACAACAACATTCAAGGTCCTCTTTGATTTGGACTCAATCCACCTTTTTGGCCATTTCTCATTGTTGTATCTTCATCTACATCAGGAGAACTACCACTCAGCTTTCTGCCGACTATTTTATCATTATTGAACATATCCACTAGAATGTAAGATTCCTGAAAAGGAGGAAAATATCGAAGTCTTCACCATCCACAAGGGAGCTCCACTGCAACCCAAAAGCAGGCAATTTAAAATCACCAGCTGGTCTTAGAAAAAAATAGGCAATTTCTTCCTGTTTGAAAAATCCATTGGAGGTCCAGCTATGAGTTGATTCAGATTCAGCGGCACATAAAAACAACAAACCACTACCAGATACATAGGTTTATCACAAGGTTTTAATTGAAGTTATAGAGTTATCAAAATACTATGTAAATAACAAGCAGTACAAACCCATTCAGTGCAATATTAGAAGACAAACCTAGTGATTTATTTCTAAAAGGTCACAAATTTAAAATCTATGGAGCAGTTCTTTTCTACACACATGCAATTAGGGACTTTTCCAAATTACTGAGGAGTAATGATGTCAGTTTGAAGACTAAGGTGCATCTGATTCAGGTCATGTCCTTTCCAATCATTTACTGTGCATCTGAGAATGGACAATGAATAGGAATGACAAAAGAAGAATGGATGCGTTTGAGCTGTGGTGTTGGAGAAGATCACTGAATATCTCACGGATCGCCAAGAGAACAAGCAAGTATGTCTTGGAGAGAGTGCAGCCAAAGTGCTCTTTGGAGGCAAATATAATGAGGCTTTGCCTCACATACTTCAGGCATGTTGCTAGGAGGGGCTATTCCTTAAAGAGGGATATGATACTCAGAAAGGTTGAGAGTCAGCAAAGGAGAGGAAGAACCTTGACCAGGTGGATTGACATGGTGACTGCTGCAATGGGGTCTAGTGTGACATAAAGTGTGAGGATGGCACAAGACAGGACGAGGTTCAGATCTGTTGTTCAGAGGGTGGCTATGAGTCATACCTGACTCGACAGCACATAACAAGAACAACAATATCACAGTTCCATGTACATAAAAGGCAGTCTAAAAAATGTTTGCTAAATGAATGAACCTGGATAAGCTGGAATTCCTCATTTCCCCCTATCTAACAGGGTAACCAGGGAGATCTGGTGGCCTAATGGTTTAGGGAGTTGTCCTGTGAGCCCAAAGGCAGGTGGTTCAAATTTCCAGCTGCTCTTAAGAGAAAGAGGGGCAATTTCCTCCTGTGTGATTTCTAGCCTCTGAAAAACTGCTGAAAGGTCAGCTATCAGTCAGTTCTAACCTGGCAATGAATCAGTGAATGAACTGGGAAACTACAGCTTGAGGGCTTGGAATCACAAAGCTAAAATAAAAGGCTGGAGAGTAGAATTTCTTTTTCATCTACAGTCAAGCTCTCAAAAGAAAGATGTCAGTTATATAATGGTGGAGACGAAATAGTAAAAATGAGATACTTACCAGCAAGGTGTCCAAAGCATCGATCAGAGTCAGAGAAAAGCTGAAAAAAGAAAGACATTGCAGCTGCTTAGTAAGAAAATCAAACACCAGATATTAAGGTTGCCCCAGAAGAGATCCCAGAAACTAGTAAGCGAAGCACAGCGACACCACTTCCAGTCACAACAGAATAAAAACCAACAACCTCTGACCCACTTAATGCACCTGGTGTATCTCAATTTTAATTAAACGCTAGTCTGTAGTCCCTGTTGGTTCTTCTCTGCCATGAGGAGGCAGTAGAAGATTATAGCTAAGAGTGTAGGCTTTTCAGCAACTTCACGTGTAGGCATTTATTCAACAATGGACAGAGCTGTAGGTTTGAAGATACTCATATTAGTATTGCTTAGGGGCAGGGAGGAAATTATGCAACAATGAATGAATGGAAAGCCAAGTTTTTTACAAACTTTCATTAATATCACAATTTTAAAAAAAAAAATAGTAAAGGGCTAGAAATAGCCCAAATGACCACCAGTTGAAGTGTTAGTAGAGTAGCTCCACTGTCATACATGCAAACTGTGAAAAGCCATGAGCTTGTCAGAAAGATTGTTATCAAGAGAGCTGATAGAATTACCAATATGATGTTAAACAGCACAGAAGAGACACCAGATTTTAGAACTGGCAGTAGAGTACATTTCTATCTGCATTTTCGGAAAGCAACGAAAAGAAAACAGGTCAGTATTTTTAGAGTCAATGGTGGCAAAAGAGATTAACTACAAGCAGGCAGAAGAAAACTTTTCAGAATGACAGAAACATTCCATATATTGACTGATGGTTACCATACACTTAAATTGGTACATTTTATGATATGTAAATTACACCTTTAAAAAAAATCTATATATCTTTATAGGGATAACTGTGTGTATATTCCTAAATACTGTACCAGCAGAGAGTATTTCTTGAAGGATGCACAAGAAATTTAATACTGGTTGGAGTTTAAGAGTATGGGAGATATTTACTTGTATCTGATTTTGTACTGTTCGTATTTACTATCTGTATTGCTTCTTTTCAACAACAACAAAAAAAAAGAAAAACAAAACCAAATATATGTCCAAATTTTCTTGAGTTTACCTAACTTCTCTAATTCTCAGTACACAAACGTGTAAAACAGAAATAATGACATTGAACTCCTAGGAATATTATGAGAATGAAGTGTGATAATTCAAGCAAAACAATACAGTGTTCAATCAATGTCAGCTTCAGCTAATGTAATGATGCTTCACTCAGCAAGCAAGACGGAGAATTGCAGGTCTCATGGATTTTTATTCCAGTACAAGTCAAACCATTAGGGAGTTAACTTAAAAGAGTAACATCAGAGAGTAAAAAATGTTGCAGAGAAAATAAATGACTCGTGAGAGTAACTTGTAAGGGGTGGGTGGCTGGGGGAACAGAAGCTTAGAAAGTGGCATTTTGCCCTGAGATCCAAATGACAACGGACAGTCAGGGATGTGAAGATAATGGGGGATATGTGTTTCATGTTTAGGGAACACCAAGTACAAAGCCCTTGGGTTTTGATGTCTAAGTGCGTTGCATTCTGTCCTGGGCCTCAATGTGTCCACCTGTAGTGGCTGGGTTTTCTTACTTCTTGCAGTCCTTTCAAGATATTCTATGACTCTAGAAATTTGCCCAACTCCACACAACTGCTAGGGCTGGAGCTGGAGCTCTAGGATCCATTTCACCAGGTTTACGCAGGGCTTTTATTATTATTTTCGCGACAGGAAACTGTGCAAGAAGATCTCTGGATCCTTGCACTGCTGGTCTGAACTGGTGGTAGCACGATCTCGTTTAGATCAGGGCATTTTCAGGAGGGACTGGTGAGACTATCAAGCCCCGCCAGCCTAGACTGTGAGACCTAAGCCGTCCCCTTTCCCCTCCACTCGCACTACCTGCCCCAGGTGTCGTGCCCATCACAGGTGAGTGGTCGCAGTTCATCGTAGGGAAAGGCGTTCTCCAGGTAGCTGTCGTAGGCGTGGTAGAACATGGCCTTGACTCGATCTCTGGTTGGAGGAACGAGAAATGAGGCAAGGGGGCAGAACACCAAACCAGATGGAGGAAAGGGACAAGACAAAGTGAAACGTAGGAATCACACCACCTGCTTTCTGCCAGGAGCCCTGAAGCGGGTCCAGGCAGGTGGAAAAAGTAAAGGACAGCGTCTGCTCTTCCCACACACACCCCCCCCCCCCCGACTATAGAGGGTCAGGGACCCCAAGTCCCTTTCACCTGTAGTGGGCAGGGTCCGGTGCGGTGCCATCAGGGCCCGGCGCACCATGGTGCAGGGACAGCAGTGCGCACAGAAGACCGATCGAGATGAGCAGCCGGAAAGGCATAGAGCTCGTGTCCTTTTAGTGCCGTAGCGGCAGCAGCAGCCACAGCAATTCACTCATTCTGGGAGCCACTGCTGGGTCTTCCGGGGATCCACGCCACTGCGCTTGCGCGCCGAGAAAGTAAGTACTACCTTCCGGACTACAAGCTCCAGAATTCAATGGGCACAACAAGCCGGGCAAAAAGCATCCTGGGAAATATAGTCTCCGAATCCCAGATCAACGTGTCTTAAAGACAGTGGCTATTATTGTTACTATTTTTTTTATTGTTACTATTTTTAACTCTTGTTTTAATAACAAGTTATCCATTATTAAGCGCTTATTGTGTGCTAAAACCTACAGAGTACTTTAAATACATTTTCTCATTTTTTCCCGAACCACCTTATTTGTTGAGTACTTGAATATAAAGATGGAAATCATTAGGACTACTTATCCTCAGTCTTTCTTTACTTTTTATTAGCAGTTTATTATCTTGATGGTAAAAGACTGTAGCCCAATGAAATGTCAAACTTGAACATTAATTTTGAAGAGACTCTCTTTGAGCTTCAATTTCCTGCTCTAAAATGTGAAAATTAACAATGCCTCTGATATTGCTGGGGATTAACTAGAATAAACTCGTTGCCAGCGAGTTTCCAAGGCCTTGCTTGCTGAAACTGAGGAGGCCCTGAAGCACTTGCTGCAGAACATCTAGGACTGTAGTCTACAATATGGATTGAAACTCAACATCAAAAAAACAAAGATTCTCACCACTGGGCCAATTAGCAGCACCATGATAGATGGAGAAAAGGTTGAGGTTGCTAACAATTACAGCTTGCTTGGCAACACAATCAATGCACCAGCAGTCAGGAAATCAAAAGAGGAATGACACTGGGGAAATCTGCTGTCAGGGACCTCTCCAGAGTACTGAGAAGCAAAAATATCAGTCTAGAGACTAAGGTTGCAGTTACTTTCAATGCATCAAAGAGCTGGACAATGACTAAGAATGACTGAAGTAGAATCGATGCCTTTGAGTTATGTTGTTGGAGAAGAATCTTGAACATACCATGAACCACCAAGAAAACAAATAGTTCTGCTTTAGAGAAAGTGAAACTGAGTGTCTCCTTGGAGGCTAGGATTTTGAAGCTCTGTCTCACATACTTTGGGCACGTGGCCAGCAGGAAGCTTGGAGAAGTGTATCATGTTTGGAAGGGTGGACAGATGGTGTGGGAGAGGAAGATCCTGATGAGATGGATTGACACAGTAACTGGTGCAATGGAGGTAGGTGTGTCAAAGTCAGTGAGACTGGCTCAGAATAGGGCAGGCTTCAGAGCTGTTGTACATAGGGTCTCTATGAGTCACAGGTAACTAGATGGCACATAACAACAATCGTAAAGAAAGAAGACTGCCCATCATTCTCCACCAGAGTCCCTGGTGAAGACTCACAACTTTTGGTTAAAAGGACAACATGCTTTGGAGCTCCTGTAAGTGGAGTAATGAAGTCTAGAATTCTTGACACAATGACTGGTCTATATGAAGTGTTCAATAAACAGATCTGTTGTTCTTAAGGTCACTACGAGTCATAGTTGTGGCGATGGCACCCAACAACAACATTCTTTCTTTGAACAACCTGGAGACTTTTATCAGATTTAACCTACTTCAACTGATGAAATTTCCCCCTAGAAAACCATCATGAAGCACAATAAATCTGCAAAATAATACTCATATTTGTATTTTACTTTGTCAACAGAATAATAATAATAATAATAATAATAATAATGCTAATAGACAATACTTGATGTTATTGTTCTTGTTGTTGTTGTTTAGTGCCATCGAGTCGCAGGTGACTCATAGCGACCCTATGAAGGAGAGTCCTCGATGCTTGGGTGCCTTTCACCCTCTCTCCAGGTTCATAGGGTTTCTGGAGGCAAGCTATTATAGAAGTGGATGCCACTCCTCCTTCGACACTTGTTTAATCGGGGAGCTCCACCCCACTCTCAGTCCGCATTGGGTAGCCAACCATTAACACATTTGACACATCCGTGTCACAGTTTTCAGCCTCACAGCAACCACAAGTGACTGTGGGATGGCAACTTGTACACCAGGGCTATACAACCTAGAGGAATGTCTGAACAAAAACAATGAAAGAGTGGCCAGAGGGCCACAAACTAAAAGTCACCCACCTTTGTCTTGGTAACATCGTTTTCTCTTCACTGGGCCAGCTGATCTCTCTCTCTCTCTTTCTCTCTCTGTTGATATTTTTATACTTAACAATAGCAAGAATTTTTATATCACATATGTTGTAGAACTCTGGTAGCCCAGTCTGTAGGTTACACTGCAGCTCCGAAGAAGATATACAGGCAATCTCCTACTGTGAGATTTACAACCTCTGACATCTGCTGTTGGTTAGCTATGAGTTGTTTCCTACAATGACAATGAGTTTGTGGTTTATTTTTTTATGTTTCAGGCACTCTTCTTAGCATTTTACATGTATCAACACCATTAACCCTTACCACAACCCACTGGGGCACAACTCTATCATCACTGTAGACAAAAATATTTAAAAAAAAAAAAAATTAAGCAGAGATGTAAAAACTAAAAAGGAAAAATAAAATGTTATGGATTGAACTGTGTCGCTCAAAAATTTATGTTGAAATCCTAAGCCCCATACCTGTAAGGAACCTGTTTACAAAAGAGGAGTTTTCTTCTGCTGCATTAATGATGTTGTATCAGAGTAGAATGGATCCTCAACTAATCACTTTTTAATTACAGAGTAGATTAGACACAGAGAAACACACAGCAGGAAGTCAAATGCCAAAGATCACCAAGGTTTGCTGGCAGATATCAGAAAGAGAGGTTCACAGAAGGAAATGACCCGGCCAAGACCTATGCTGAACTTTTCGCTTTCAGAACTGTGAGGCAATAAATTTCTGTTCTTTAAAGTCATTCACTTGTGGTATTTCCGTCTCAGCAGCACTGGTAAACTAAGAAAAGAAGTTTAGTCACTTAATATCTCACATTAATAAGGAGTGAAAGGGGCTCTAGTAGCCTACTGGGTATGTGTAGTTATACTGCCAACGTAAGGGCAGGCAGTTCAAATCGACCAGCTACTCCTTAGGAAAAAAGATGAGCAGTCTCCTCCCAGGGGATCTACAACCTCTGAAAACCCACTGGACAGTGAAACTGTAAGTAGATCCCTATTCAACAGCATATAAAAAAACAACAGTAAAAGAGTGTAGCCAGAATTTGGAACCAGGCTGCCTCTACTGGATTGATGAAATTATAGAGGGTAAAATGAATATATAAGTAAAAAATCAAAATCCAATCCACATAAGACAAAATCCAAGGGAATTAACAGTAAGGATCTGATCAAGCTGCCTTCTGTGGGGTCCTTGATCATTAAGTTCATGTGATTCTAGGATCAACATTTCTTTATACTGGGAAAGTCAGATAAAGAGAAAATAGACTTCATTTCTCTGATGTCAGAAGCCAAGACACTGCAGACTCCCTTTGGCCAGTAAAGAATTTAGCAAGGAAATATCTGGGAAACCCTTTTGCATCTAGAAGTCAAATAGTTTGAACATATTCTTCCCACTCCCAGAGCTTACACACTACATACTTTGCCCAGAAATAGCTTGTCTAATGCTGGGAAATTTCCCATCTGTTGCTTTGTAGAAATACTTGAATCTCCTCTGTCCCCAGCATGTCCAAACATTTAGATCAATGACTCCCTGGTCATAGCCTCAAACCACATTTCATAAGGCTCATGAACTCAGACCTATGCCTAAATATGCCTAGAAAAGCCACAGCCATCCTGGTTATATTTAGGCAAAAGCACAAAATTGGAAGTTAACACAAGATGGTCTCAGAACCTGCTCAATTCCATGTCCTGAGCTGGATTAGAGTTATTTGAGATCATAGTCTTGAAAATGGTGACTATGTGCAACTCAACATAAAAACAGTAATTCTAGGTGCGCTCTGGTGGCCTAGTGGCAAGGAGGTGTACTGCAATCCCAGAGGTGCATGGTTCAAATCCACCAGATGCTCTGCTGGAGAAGGAGGAACAATCTCCTCCTGTACCAGTCAGATCTGATTTGACGGCACACACACACACACACACACACACACACACACGAAATAAAATAAAATTTTAAAAAAACAAACAAACAGTAATTCTATATCATAAAACAAAGAGATCCAACAATATTCTGACTTTCCATGTGCTGTCTTCTTCACGGTCTTTTTGAAAATACTTAATTTTTTCAAAGAAAATAATCTTATTGGACAGGGAGGAGGAGGATGCCTGCTTTGCTGACTCCCAAAAGAGTTACTTCTTCCTGTTTGATGATAAAGATCCCAGCCCTCCCCAGCCCATACTAAGGAGGTAAGATGGCAGGGTTTTCTAACAAATTGTGTTAAGTCGGAAAGAAGAAAAATGTCTACTAAAATGGAAAACTTTTCAGCAAACATCTGTTGAGGACCTACAATAACCTATTGAACTCTAGGCAGCTCAGGTTGTGTAGCATGTAGAGAGTTGTGCTGCTAATTTAAAGGTAGCCCTGCTCCATCAGTTCGAATCCACCAATGGTTCTTCAGGAGAAAGATAGGCAACCTCCTCTCTTGTGATTTTTAGACTCAGAAAGCCAAATGGAGGGGCTGATAGAAGATCGGTTGTAAGTTGGTTTGGACTTGATGATAATGAGTGAGTGAATGGAACTCCCCTTTTCTAGTGGTAAGAAAAATCACTCAAAACTTGTTACTAAGGGGGAAAAAATATTATGTAACCATTTGATGTTCTGATAAGTACTAATTAAGAGTGCTAAGAGTCATATGTTTGTAAAGGGAAATTTATCTTTATTTACACAATCCACTATATCAACATGTTTGAGAATCCTCTAAAATGATAAAATGTGACAATTTCCTACTCTGTTCCAGAAGATAACGCCAAAGGTTATGTTTTTATTACCCTGAAAGATATTAACCCATTTGTCATATAATTTAACAAGATAGAAGTACATCTTATTTCATAGTTCCTTTTTCTTTTCTATTGACTATTTAAAAATCCCATTTTTACATTCTGTTTTGAACTGGTTGTGTCATTTTGCTAACCTCCTCATCAATAAGGTAAAT